TAGGTGGTATTTTCTAAAATCTCCAGATGCATGAAGAACAGGTGGTCTATTGCCTTTCATTTCAATATTTCAGACAATTCCACAGTTTATGACTAATTTCTGGGTAACAAGGACTTCTTGTTTTATTTTTAAGAATGCAAATTTGAAACAGAGTTGTAGTGGCTACAATAATCACTTTTTCCCTTGTAAATATGTTATGTAAGTATCTACATAAATAACAACAAATTAAGGAATATTTTTCTGTGGAAAGCTTATCTGATAACTAGTTAACATTGTGCTTCAAACATACGCCTTCATACAGTTGTATAGGACAATATACATGGCTAGCTATAAAAATGATCTGAGCAGATATGAGTATTCCTCTGTTTATATACAAGTTGCAAAAATGGTATTAATTACTTTTATTCTGGACACTACCTGAAGAAAATCTGCAGCCAGAGTAGAGTCCGGCAGGTCACTGCCCCCCACATTCTAAGGCAATGGAAAAGGCAGTCAGGTTTCCATTCATTCACTATTCTGTTGCTCATTTAAACAGAATCCCATTAGAAATGGATAACCTAATTTATCAAAAACTTCACTTCTTTCCTCATGAATTTGTACAGGCAAGCATTTAGATTTCAACACAGATTTAGCCATTTACATTTAAAAATCAGATAACTTAACAAGTAGCAGTAAACAGCACATCCAAAACATAAGGTCTGTTTTTCCAGGTAAGAAAATACTGTGACCTATCACCATCTCTGAATTAAATAAGATTAAAAAGGTCAGAAACTAATTTCTGCAAATGCTTCACCTCTTTGTTTTACCTGCTTCTGTGTACTTTAATCCTACTTTTACTTCTTCATGCTTTGCTTTTGGTGGCGGCCAGACAGTCTGGAGTCTCCCTGGAGTCTTGTCATCTTGCTCTGAGGGACTCAGGTCAGGCTGTTAAAATTACGCAAGAAAAAATTAAAGTCTGCAGTATCAATTGGTTCCAAAACAGCAACTGCCATGCTCAACTCTATATGTGTACTCTAGAACGGTTACCTGCCTTGTTCTACTGATTGAAACAATGCTCAGTTGGTTGGAAGAGATACGAAGCAATCAGTGTAGAAAAATTATTTTGAGGAAGAAAACAACATAATGCATGTGACATACAATGATTTGTTGAAACTGTTCACGTCTGTGGAAAGCTGTCTACCCTTTGGTGAACCATAGAGGTGGTCAAGAACACTAGGTTTTTTTCCTGTATCATTTTTTCAGAGTGAAAAGACCCACCTGTGCTCCTCTTACAAGTAAACATTAGTGGAATTCACCTAAGACATCATTTGACAATATATTTTCCTGGAAGCAGAGCTCATTTATGAAATTCCTGCCCCGCCCCCAGCAGCTTGCTCAGTCCACATACCATGTAATGCTGCTGTATCAAAATGCTGCTGCAGCTCTTAATGGGACTGCACTGTCAACTGGAATGCTAAAATAACCCTTTAAATGGGGGAAAAAAAACCACTAAACGAGCATTCTTTGAGAGGTTTAAGTTTTGGGTTTGTTTTTTTTTGTATCTCTAACATTTCTGTAATCTGATTTACAACATGCTACTATAAGTAATTGCATAGACACAACTGCAGCAACAGCAAAACCCTATATGAAAGTGGCCACATGAATGGCCCACATGAGCGAGGAAAATGGAAAGGCAAGACCCTTTTACTCTGGCTTTGCCCTGAGAAAATGTTCATTCGTACTAGACCGGACGTTAAGCAGACATTTATAAAAGCCACTCCTGCTGCATCCACTGTGTCTGATGACAGCTTCCCAAACAGGTCGGCTGTGAGCCGCACAAACTCTTACACCAGCACAGCACAAGGAATGGTGTAAGCAGGAAGAAGCAAGCCAGGAATGGGAAGGGCCCACACAGAGTGCAATTGCTGTACATGCCACAGCCAACGACTGCCTCTTTTCTCCTCCCCGTAGGTAATTTACTACAAACTGGTATTATCAGTCTACCCAGCTGTCAGTGAAGATTTTTAAAAAGTTTTTAATTTTATGTAAGGATAAAAATTTGAACGAGAGTACAACCAACACAGCAAACTAACTTAAGTAGCTTCAGGTTTAGGGTCCAGCCCTGCAAATTTAATTATGCAGATAATTCCCCCTGTAGCCAACAAGAACAATCTCCTGGACTGATTATATCTGCTGAAGATGTAGCTGCAAGAATTTTGATTCTCATTTAATTAGGAATTTGGTTACTCATTTAATTAAAGAGTTCAAATCACACTCAAATTCATTTATCATTATGGTTCTATGAAAAGTTAGCATAGATTTATTTTTTCATTTCTTAAAAATATACTAAATCTCCATATACTTAAGAATATTAACCTTGCAAATGCTTATATTAATCCATAACTTGAGTTGTCTAATTGGAATCACTAAGTTATACTCGGATAAATTTAAATGCTTATCAATATTTGCAAAGCCAGATATATGCATGTAAATAAGAAAAAAAATTACTTTAAGTTCTATGTCTTGGACAAACTGAGTTGAAAATCATCCATAACTTCTCGTATCAGCTCTTATCATAGAATTATTCCTAAAGGTAAAGTGAAATATTACTTTTAAAAATAAAAAACTCAGTGAAAGAAAACAGAGTGAGATTGAGAAACTATTAAATAATACTACAGTAAATATTTGCAGCACCAAACTGATTTAAAGCCATATGTAACATATGGGCAACTGTTTTCTAGTGATCTTTTAAAATCAGATACTGATTTTTAAGTTCTTGCTTCTAATTGAAAGGCTGTGACTACAACCAGTTATCACTGAATTCTGCTACAACTTCAGATGATCAAGAATTTTGACAAATTAGCCCCAAGATTTCTTCAGTTGGGAATCCAAAACTTGAGATTGCCAAATGAAGAGGACAATTCTGACATTTTGACCTTAAATCCCCGCCCATAATTTTTAAACAAGAAATTATTTTTTATCCATCTACTTTCAGATCTTAGGAAGAAAAAGTAATTCAACCTACAGATTTGTCTGTTGGTCCATCCCCAGGTTTTGATTTTGACCTTTCAAATACAGCTTTCAAGGACTCTTTTTCATTTCTCATTTTGCGTTTTATGGCTTCCAGCTCTGAAGTATCTGCAGTTGTTTCTTTTTTGGGAGGCCGTGTGAATAAAGCTTTAAAGACGTCCAGTGCAGATTCAGCAGGGCTTGATTTTATTTCCTCAGAGAGAAATCGTGGCTCTGTTTTGCCAGAGGCTTTGTTCTCTTGAGCTTCATCACTGTCCTCGGTCTCCCCAGACCCCTCACCAGAGTCCTCAGTTCTATCTTCATTCTTGGAGACGTCTATGTTTAACAAGTGCGAGAGTTGTTCCAGGAAAGTAGGACTTGCTTTAGGTTCAGCTGATTTTTTTTTAGTGGTCAAACCTGATGTAATACTGGATTTCTTAACAGGCTGTCGTAATTTAAGCAGAGCTAAATCATTCTCCCTTGGTTTAATTTCTGTAACAGTTTCCCCATCCTCTGTGGTTAGTCCCTTTTTCCTCACACGTAGTCCACTAAAGAAAGCGGGCAGCTGGAAAGTCTTTTCAGCCAGTGCTGTTTTTTGGAGCGATGTATTATCAGCTGAAGGTCTTTGCTCTTCTTCTGGAAGTTCTTGAGGGCATTCCCCTGTAGCAAGCAAGTGACTGAACTGCTCATCCATTAACATTTTGTCTTTTCCATTGGAGTCATGTTCCAGAGTACCATCCAGCTCTTTTGGGAGCCGCTTAGAAATTGGTGGGTGTAACTCAAAGGCATCTGTATCCACACTGTCATCACTGTTGCTGTGCCCTTCTGATTCTGACTCTTCCTTATTTTGATCTCTCTCGTCCAAAGCCTCAGCAGACAAAGCAGCATTATTTAGCCCAGATTCGCTTGTATTGTTTTCATTGGTGTCTAGGTCCTTACTGTCCGTGTCCGATTCTGTATCGCTTGTTGTATGAACCAAAGTACCTTGTACGAGAATAGCATCCTTGTCATCATTGTCAGATTCAGACAAAGAAGTCTGTACAAACCTTAAATGGTGAAGAAGTAATTCATTTTGTTCAGCTAACTCCAGTTGCAGGTCAGTTTGCATGCCAGACATTGGGTCAGCTTGGCCACTGGTACTATTCATGCCGTGCTGATTTTCTGAGTCGTCATTACAATCATTATCGTTCCTCTCATGCCAGGTGTTAGCATGAGTATTTATACTGGTGTGCAAAGGTTGAAATGCTTTAAGCACTGTTTCTTCTTTGGAAGCTGTAGAGTCAACTTCAGTTGTAAATCCAAAAAGTGTTTTCACAGAAAATGTAGTGAAAACATCAGGTTCACCTTTTGTTGTATTCTCCAGGGCTGAAAGCTCACTAAAATCAGGCACTGTATTTTCTTCTTCCATGTTGCATGAAGTACAGAATAGGTTTGCTTCTAGCAGTGCTACTAACTGCTAAACAAATATTTACTACATGCATTCAGACAGGAGACCGAACTCACTACAGGCACTGCAACGGGCAGCGCTCCCCTGCCCCGCGAAGGCAGCCGGCGTCTCCCAGGCCACCCGGCCCCTCCTTCCGCTTCCAGCGCTGCAGCCGGCAGCCAAAGTGCCCGTCAGGCCTCCAAACTCTACTTCAGGAGCAGCAAAAAGACCCACCGTCAAAAAAGTTCTCAGCAGTGTCGGTAACTTGTTCCTTTACACAAAGGGCTTTTTGTCACAGCAAATATGCCAGCACACTAATCTCGGTTGAAAATTCGACCAATGGTTACTGCTGGGACTCCTGCAATCCTACTGGCTGCACACAACTTCCTACGTGCTAAAAAGTGCAGAGCAGCTATATAAACAAGCTTCCCGAGCAGCACTGGGCGCATTTGTAGTTTGCTACTTCCTTATCCCAGTACACGACCTGTGAGTGGTTTTCAGCAGAAAATTCCTGACCGATTCTTTTGCATAGTCTTTCCACTTTGATGACAATCTTCTTTTGTAAATCCATAATCACCAAAAAACGTCAAATGGAAACCTGAAGTAACGAATCTGAAGCTTCCAGTGCCAGCACCCGGAGCCTGTGCAGAGTCCCCAGTTCCCAGCCAGCCAGAGCGAACTCGGGTGAGCGCCCTTGAAGCC